TCGCAAGCTTGACTGGCAAATGTAGCTACATGAACAAAGGAGACTTCAGCAGGACTTCTGAATCAGTTCCCTGGGGCACTCTCGGGTTGTATGGGGCTGTCATTTCCACAGCACTTTAGCCCCATTAATTTATAGGTAAAGAAACTCCACAGCCAAACAATTTTAACCCAGGAAGTGCCATGCCAATAAGACATTTCTAAAGGATTGCTAGATTCAGGGCAAGGCAGCAGGGACCATCTGTTTGTTGTAATTGAACAAAGGCAAATGTAGGCTCGGGTCTCTAAGAACCGAGAAAGTACAGCACACTCACAGCCCTGCACAGGGTGTCCTGGAGGGCAAGGACGTGGGTCCTGGGTGGAAGTGGCGTTCTGGGCGCTAACTGAAGATGACTTCCCACGACAGTGACACGGGCAGGCAGGTTTGTGTAGGGGTAAGCAGAGGCGTGCTGAAGAGAAGAGGGGCTGGACTAATCTCTCAGCGTGGAAGCCCATTGCTAGATACTGTGTCTAATTGTGGTTTACAGATTTCAGGAGGAAGGCGAGGGCCTGGATGTGGTTCAGAAAAGGCCGACAGGAGAAAGGTCAGCTCAAGGGCAGCGAGAGATTTAAATCAAACTGTTTAACTCAACGAGACTGTGTGTTAACAGATGATTTGTTTGTGCTATAGAGAACCTTTGGGCGTAGAGATTCCCGCGTGTGCCGGGACCTGTCAGCTGCAAGACGGGCCTAAAGCAAGAGTCCAGGGGTGGGGCCTGCGAAAGGATGGTGTGGAGGTGGAAGGGAAGAAAACCCTTCCTACAGTGAGGGCGGACAGCTTACCTGGGGCACTCCCAAGCTTTGAAGGCTTCACCTATGATTGACATTTCTTTTTTTAAAAAAATAGGTACTAGATTAATCACGAGGTGGGGGCTGGATGAGCACGGCCCTGGGAGAGCTTCTCCAGCCCCGTCCTGCCCCCCCCGGGGCTGCAGCTCTGCCCCAGGCGCTGCCCCCGCCTCAGCCCGCGGGGGTGTCTGTCCCTTTAAGAGCCGCGCGGCGCGTGCGGAGCGGCGGCGGTTGGGCCGTTGGGCGCGCGGCGAGGAGAGGCGAGGCGGAGCGGCGGCGGCTCCCCGGGGCGGCGGCGGGACTCGCTCCTTCGTGGGCTCCTGGGCAGCGCCTGGAGCCTTGTTCCGAGCGGGCGGGCGAGGCGGCGCCGGCCGG